ATTTTATTATGTTATGTTAGTCACCACACAGTACATCATTAGTTTTTGATGTAGTGTTCCATGATGCATTGTTTTCATAAAACACCCAGTGCTCCATGCAGTACATGCCCTCCTTAATACCCGTCACCGGGCTAACCCATCCCCCACCCCCTCCCCTCTAAAACCCTCAGTTTGTTTCTCAGAGTCCATAGTCTTTCATGGTTCATCTCCCCCTCTGATTCCCCCCCTTCATTTTTCCCTTCCTTCTCCTAATGTCCTCCATGCTATTCCTTATGTTCCACAAATAAGTGAAACCATATGATAATTGACTTTCTCTGCTTGACTCATTTCACTTAGCATAATCTCCTCCAGTCCCATCCATGTTGATGTAAAAGTTGGGTATGCATCCTTTCTGATGGCTGAGTAATATTCCATTGTATACATGGACCACATCTTCTTTATCCATTCATCTGTTGAAGGGCATCTTGGCTCTTTCCATAGTTTGGGTATTTCGGATATTGCTGCTATGAACATTGGGGTGCATATGGCCGTTTTTTTCACTACATCTTTGTCTTTGGGGTAAATAGCCAGGAGTGCCATTGCTGGGTCATAGGGTAGCTCTATTTTTAATTTTTGAAGACCCTCCAACACTGTTTTCTAAAGTGGCTGTACCAACTTGCATTCCCACCAACAGTTTAAGAGGGTTCCCCTTTCTCCACAACCTCTCCAACATTTGTTTCTTAACTTTTCAATTTTTGCCATTTTAACTGGTGTAAGGTGGTATTCTCAGTGTGGTTTTGATTTGAATTTCCCTGATAGCTAATGATGATGAACATTTTTTCATGTGTCTGTTAGCCATTTGTATGTCTTCTTCTGAGAAGTGTCTGTTAATGTTTTCTGCCCATTTTTGACTTATTTGTTTTTTCAGTGTTGAGTTTGAGAAGTTCCTTATAGATCTTGGATATCAGCCCTTTGTCTGTAGTGTAATTTGCAATATCTTCTCCCATTCTGTGGGTTGCTTCTTTGTTTTGTTGACTGTTTCCTTTGCTGTGCAGAAGCTTTTTTTTTTTTAAGATTTTTATTTATTTATTTGACAGAGAGAGAGACAGCAAGAGAGGGAACACAAGCAGGGGGAGTGGGAGAGGGAGAAGCAGGCTTCCGGCTGAGAAGGGAGCCTGAGGCTGGGCTCCATCCTAGGACCAGGGGATCATGACCTGAGCCGAAGGCAGACGCTTAACAACTGAGCCACCCAGGTGCCCCTGTGCAGAAGCTTTTTATCTTGATGAAGTTCCAAAAGTTCATTTTTGCTTTTGTTTCAGTTGAGAAACAGGCCCTTTTCCTTGGGCAATTGTGGGGACCTGGAAATGGCACAGTGTGCTACCATTTCGAGTGAGAAAAAAAGCAGTGTGGCAGAAAGGATGACTCGGCACAGACCAGTGGTTTGTTTCTTCGGGTTAGAGGGCAAGGTCTGCTTTCCTTCAGAAGAAAGACAGTAGTGAGGCCTCCACAGGAGCCCCTTCCCATCTTCTTCCCTTCCATCGCCCCATGAGCAATGAAAAAACTTGGGAAGGCTACCATAGAACCTCCAGCACAAGTGGTTTACAGGTACAAAGTTATTTAACTATTAAGTCTCTTTCACTAGTACAGAGTTGTTTTCCTCATGTGCACACTCAAGACCATGCATATTTAGGTGCAAGAAGTATTGTGGACATCAGAAGGGGAGGCAGGGCTTGAGAATGGCATATGCACACACAGGGGTAGTTTGGTATTAATATGCTTCTCTTAGCCCTCACTATTTTCCCTATATCTTTATCCCACCTTACCTTCGACTATTTCAATGCAAGAAACATGGTAGGCAATAAGATGAGAGACTTAAGAGGAGAGGGGCAATAAAAGACTAAGATGTTTGACATCGATCAGCTAGTCAAACCAGAGTGGTTTTCCAGACGCCAAGCCCACAGGAGCCCAATTCGTGTCGAGAATTAAGTGCTTGGAGCAGCAGCTTGGAGAGTCTTCTCTCATAGAGGGGACACGGCTTTTGGAATAGATTAGAACGTACCCTCTTCTCTCAAGTCTTGCACTCTGATTTCCCAACCCTCTTATCCCCTCCCCCACCCCGCCTATTTAGGTAGGCCTAGGACTTCGGCGAAGTGAATGTGTAAACACGACACTGAGGTATCCTTCCGCATGATCGGGCCAGAGCGGATTCAGCGACGCCACCCCCTCATACCTGCACGCGTTTCAGTTCAAGAAGAAAAAAAAATGTAGGCTTGGTTGGGGGAGATCCTAAAAGAGGGCAACTAATGCTGAGACCCTTTGATATTGGTAAGCTTCTCTTCGTATCGCGCTTTCTCTATGTTCAGATGTCGCCCCAGTCCTTACCAGGATGAGAAAAAGCTAGGGTTGAGCTCACCGACAGAGGGCGGAGTGGCGCTGTGCAAAGCTTGGTATCACTCCGCTTCCATCAGGCCGGATCCCCTTACACTGCGCTCTAGCTCCTCCCGCTGCAGATTTGGGTACTGGGGACGTGGCAAAGCAAAGTCTGCGGAGGAAAAGGTAGCTGTTGTTAATTAGTCACTAGGCGTGGGTCCCAGAGGAGCTTTGGGGACGGGAAGAAGGGAATACCAAAAAGTGGCAGTTGTTTGCCCGTTACGGCCCTCAATCTGACAAAGCAGGTATCGCGTCCTAAATCCCAGGTGCCGGGCCAATCCCCAAACACAGTCGCCGCCATTGTCTCGTGTCCTCGTGTCCATCTGACTGTCCATCCCTCTTTCTGTAGGGCACGGCACCCCTTGAGGCAAGGAAATAAGAAAACTGCCTCTGATCCAAGCAGAGCAGGTCAGTGAGAAGGCGGGCATTGCTTGGGAGTGTGGAAATGGGTATCAGAGAGGAATGTGGGATACGTGATCTGGTCGTGGGGCGCGGGCGGTGAGAGGGAGAGGGGGACAGGGGTAATTTGAGTGGCACGCAACTATAAATTTAAAATGATCTTGCTAGCTTGATTTCCAGACACTAATCACCTCCGACCGTGTTTGGGAAGGTAAAGGAGTATAGTAGCGGCTTCTGGCGGAGAAATGGCGGTTTATATGATAGGGGGAGGGGCTGCTGCTGTTGGTGAGAACAAGTTGTCAGGGGAGCCCTGGGAGGGAGAGTGTAAAAAGAAGTGTTTGATAATCAAGGCCCTGGATTAGAAAATGGTCTCATGGCCTGGTTACTAGTCTGACCATTAAAAACTGAATCTCTTCCACTGTGTTTTCGTTTGGTCCTTGGATGTGTATCATGCGTTTATATATTTAGGTCTGTTCCTAAGTTTTCGGTACAGCATGTTTTTGTAAAGATCTGTAGAAGGCCGTGGACCTCAAAGGGAGGGGATAAGAAAAGGAAACTTGGCCTAATTTTTGCGGAGTGGGCAGTGCTTGGAGTTGGTAGATGGCTAAGACTAGAATAGGCAGGAGTCTGGGAGAAACTCCAGATTTCCTTTCAGCATGCTTTCCAAAACAGTCCTCCCTTACTCCTTTTGTGTTGCAGAAAATGATAGGCTTTAAGGAGAGGAAGGAAACATAAAAGCTTAGATGAAATTTGGAGATAATACTTTTCTTTGATTTCCAGCCAACTTCCATGGCTTGTCTGAGCATTCCATCTCTACTACCACCACCACTATCTTGCAGGGATGTTTGAGTTGTCTGTGCAGGAGAATTATCAGACTTTTGGAATGGAGCAGAGGAACTTGGAGGGAGAAGGAGGAAAAAAGGGCCACAGAAAATTTTGGCAAACAGGTACCTGTTTCCAGAAAGGATCAGTGTCCCAGGTGCTGATCTCTACCAAGGACTCAGTCACCATTGTCTGCTGTGTGTTGATTTATTTATCCCTGCATTTGTGAATCTCTGGGTATAGACCCATCCCCAGGTCTGTGGAACTCTCAGTTGTGAAAGTTTGCAAATGGTAACCCAACTTGAACGTAGGAAATAATGAGGAAGAGAAACATGCCCTGTGTCTGTTAGGATTGGTGAGAGGGTAAATGGACAGGAGAGGATTAAGACTTAGGAATTCTATTCTCTTTTGTTTTGCCAGTTTACTAACCCCTCTTTGGTCCCCTGCTGATTTAGTTGTGAGTCTTTGAAAGCTTTGAGAGTATAGAAGGGTAACACTTGTTTTTCTGATTTCCCACTGGCTTTTCTTATTCTTATGCTTCACCCAGGCCAATTTTAAACTAGAGAAATGCAAAAGCAGTCACTGAACAGTAAAATGGTGGGCAGCAGGGAGAAGGAGGATCAGTCCTGAATTAGGGCAATGGTGGTAGAGGACAGAAGGAAGGAAACACTAGACAAACTACAAATATAGGGACCAGGGACCAAGGTCTTTCTACCAGGAGGTCAGTTTCCATATCTTCCCATTTCTGCTTGTAGGTCTTCTGTAGGGCTTGTCAACATTGGAAGCAAGGAAAGGAGGAGAAAACTACTCTAGAGCAGTGAAGTTTGGTATGAGTATGGAGACTTTCCCAGTAGACCTGTAAGATGAAGTAGTAGTCCAGCAGGGATAAAGAGCCAGTCTAGGGATTCCTTAGTCTCTCTCACCTCCATTCAGCTTTCCCACTCTCCATATTCCTGGTTTGTGTCTGGAAAGAAGATTAGTAGCACCTGCAGTTTTGTAGAGAGTGTGAAATTAGGAGAGAGTTTGATAATTATCTACTTCTGCCATTTAGCACTGAATGTCCATACTCTTCTGTCTCTCTGTGCTAATCAACATAAGAAATAAATTGGAAAAGACTCAAAGCCCCCATTTCCTTCCTCCACCCCTAGGTCCAACTTCAGTGGCAGATCTGGTGTCCTTGGAGTGGCTGAAGACCACCACCCTCCACAGGGCTGCGCTCAGGCACACAGCCATTCTTCCCTTACCTGAGTGAGCTTCCTCTGCACGTTGTTTATATCATTGGCAGAGCCTGTAGTTGGAAAGGGGGCCGAGTGACGAATGGACTTTGTATGAAAACACCAACCTGGGACAGACCTTCAGTCAAGGTTGAGATGGGGTTGGGGTATATAACCTGGCCTTGCCTTTAACTTGGATCATGACTGGCTCTGAGGCTAAGGCAGGGGCAGAGCAGGGGCTGGGGCTGCCCTAAAAGCTGCAATCAGTGGCCCTGCCAACACTAGAGCCAAGGCTAAGATCCAGGCCAAGGCAGTGGCTGAGGCAGAACTGAAAACAGGACCAGTGCCCCAGGCCAAGGCTGGGGATGGAGCAGTGGCCAGGACACAGTGACCTACACTGAGGCCGTGACTATGACAAGGGATGTGGGCAAGATGGAAGCTATGACTAAGAATAGAGTCATGACTGAGACTAAGGCAAAATCCATGGCAGAACCTGGTATAGTGCCCCAGACCAAGCCAAAGGTGATGCCTATGGCCAGGGTCAGTGCAGTGACCAAGTACGAAGTCAAGGCTGGTGCTGGACGTGAAGCCAATATCAGGTCCTTTGCCAAGGCTGATGATAAAGCCAATATTAAGTCCAGGCCCCAGAAAAAGAGAGAGGACGGCATCAAATTCAGGGCTGGGGCTGGGGACAAAACTGGTATTGTAATCAAGTCCAGTGATGAGGATGAAGAAAATGTCTGCTCCTGGTTCTGGACCGGAGAAGAGCCTAGTGTAGGATCCTGGTTCTGGCCTGAAGAGGAGACTCCTTCTCAAGTTTATAAGCCTCCACCTAAGATCCAGGAAAAGCCCAAGCCCATACCCAAACCAGAACTCACTATAAAACAAAAAGCAGCAGCATGGTCAAGGGCCAGGTATAGTGTCCTAGTCCCAATAGAAGGAGGGGAGCCGTCCTTGCCTGCAGAAGGGAATTGGACTCTGGTTGAGACCTTGATTGAAACTCCTCTGGGGATTCGGCCTCTGACCAAGATCCCACCCTATAACGGGCCTTACTTCCAAACCTTAGCTGAGATCAAAAACCAGGTTAAGTATAGGGAAAAGTATGGGCCCAATCCAAGAGCCTGCCGCTGTAAATCACGTGACTTTAGTTTAGAGCCTAAAGAGTTTGATAAACTCGTTGCCCTACTTAAGTTAACTAAGGATCCTTTTATTCATGAAATAGCTACTATGATAATGGGCATCAGTCCTGCTTATCCATTTACCCAAGATATAATTCATGATGTAGGTATTACTGTTATGATTGAAAACTTGGTCAATAATCCCAATGTTACAGAACACCCTAGAGCTTTAAATATGGTAGATGACAACTCTGAGTCTTCTGAAGAACCAAAACCAGCAGAGTTATATATACATCAAGTTTGTAAGGACATAATCTCTTACCCGTTGAACTCCCCTGTGCAACTGGCTGGACTAAAATTATTAGTGCACCTGAGTGTGAAATTTGAGGATCACCGTATAATTGCTAATTACATTCCAGATTTTCTTACCTTGTTAAACAAGGGAAGTGTCAAAACCAAGTTTTATGTTTTAAAAGTGTTTTTGCGCTTGTCTAAAAATCAAGCCAATACAAGAGAACTGATTAGTGCCAAAGTACTATCATCATTGGTTGCTCCCTTTAACAAGAATGAGTCAAAGGCCAATATTCTTAATATCATTGAAATATTTGAGAATATAAATTTCCAATTCAAAAAGAAGGTGAAGCTGTTTACCAAGGAAGAGTTCACTAAATCTGAGCTTATTTCCATATTCCAGGAAGCAAAAGAGTTTGGTCAGAAACTCCAAGACTTAGCAGAGCACAGTGATCCTGAGGTGAGAGATAAAGTTATACGATTAATACTCAAACTCTGAATGGCTGTATGTTCTCACAAAACCATGAACAATTTTTTTGGTGTTGTAATATGAAGCCACGCGTATTATAATTGTTAGTTCAATATTTATGTTATTTGTATTGATTGAAGGAGGCAACCTTATGGCTACCAAATGATCTTGAGAGCTTGAATGTGTGTTGATTTTCATTGTGCTATATAAATGGAGATATTTTTAGTATTTCTGCAACATTACCTGATAATGGACCTATTCATTCTGAGTAAGCTATACTTCTGTGCTTTATATTGACATAAGTGTATTCATTTGAGACTTTATTTACATGTTAATAAAGTTGCATGCTAAAACTGGTGAAAACATTGTCCTAGTTCTTCAGTTGAAGTCTGGTCAGAAGGATAAAGCACAATTACCACAAAGATGATAAAGGGCACTGTCTGTGTGTGTAGGAGGGTACAAACAAAACAAGTTTACATTGGTAGATCCTTTAGTTTCAACATGTTTGAAGAATGGAATCACTGCACACAAGAAGACAGGACGGTGGTACTAGATGACATCTGGGCAGATCTGGGGAAAGGGTTGAGGACACAGACCTAGGAAAAAGGGAACACAGATTCTTTCATTCCAGTCTGAGTCCCAGAACTTGGGTTCACCCTTTAACATAGGATTTCTCATCAGGATATCTTGAAGCTTTTTAACTCCCACAAGGATTCCTGGTTCTCACCCCCATTCAGCAAAGCCATGGAAATATGGTTCTGAAAGGACCCAGCCCCACCATGCCCTCAAACTCTAGGTACCCCCATCAAGGTGCCAGGTTTACTGCTTCATTCCCTGTAGTCCTGGACCTCAGAGGGAGGTCTTCCTGGAGACCAACTACAGAAGCTGCTTCATGGATAGTCTCACTTGTCATGCCTTGGTGACTGTTTACTCTCATCCTTGCTTTTGTTTGCTGGCCAATGCTTTGGGCTTTGTAATTTGCACCTATCCTTGGTGGTAGCACCTTGTTTGTGCTGATCCCTTTTGGCCAGAGTTCATCGAGCTGAGCTCAATGAGATAGCTACAGGATTCCAAAGTCCTTTAGGGGTGTGTAGTTAGGAAGAAATTAATTTCCCTAATTCCATTATCCTATCTATCTGTTTGTGCAGTTTATAGAGCCGAAGCCATGTGGTCTGTACTGCTTCAGGTCCTCCTGTTTATACTTAACAAAAGCTAGGTTCTGGCTAGGGGTTACTGAAATAGAATGCCAGAGTATAGATTGGGATCTGGGGTTACCTCTGCCTCCTTTGCTGTTATTGTCCCCTTTCCTTTACTGCCCAGAATTGGGAAATATAGATAGTAGGATCAGTGTACAAATACTAGTCTTTCTTTTGAACTTCCTCTTGCTCCTAATTTATGTATTTGGGGAAAGGCCTAAACTGAAAAATCTCAACAAGGTTTCAGGTACTCCTAGTTTTAGAAGCCATGCCTAGTTTTTCGGTTAAGGTCAGTCCTGAACCTATTTTTTATACATCTAGGAGTTAAAGTGAAGGACAACTGGCTACACATGTGCACTAAAGGGTGCAAAAAGTAGGATTTTTGCAATGTGCGGTTGCAGCTTAGATGATTTTTGAAGTTCTTTGTAATTTTTTTTTTTTAAGTAGGCTCCGCGCCCGGTGTGGAGCCCAACACAGGGCTTAAACTCATGACCCTGAGATCAAGACCTGAGCTGAGATCAAGAGTCGGATGCTCAACCTACTGAGCCACCCAGGCACCTGTTTATAATTTTTTAATCCCCTGGAATTCCAGCTATGTGTACTAATTGCAGAGTTGGGGTCTTCACAATACAATTGGACCAGACCCTTTGGAAATATTCTGTGTCTCAAATGTCCTATGGAGCACACAATCAGCTATGGAATTTTACATCGGCTAAAGAGAAGAATGTGTGGGGTTTGCAGGTATTTGTGTCAAAGCAAGAAGCTGATGGTCTCTCCTTAGGTGGGAATTATGGGAGACAATCATTTCCCAAATTGTTCCTGGGGTGTGCTTGAAGTCAAAACCCTGTTGCTCATCCCTTGTTTCACTCCTTTCCTGGAAAAATAATTCAGGCAACTCGATGTAGTATCAGGGCTGATCCGATATTACTTCTTTTAAAATGTTGCTACCCGGGAGTAAAAATCAGGATGGATTTCTCATCTTTTCTGTCATGAAGTAAAGCAAGTAATCTTCCTACAACACACCTGGACTGTTAGCACACACTGACCTTTTACTATACCTTCAGTTTTAAAAGAGGAATTTTCAATGGGAATTCATCTATACAATATCACCAAATTCCCCAGCAAGGCTTTCAAAGCTGTGTATCCTTCAGCACCTTTCCATTTTTCCCATTATATCCCACCATGTGACCTACATTCAAGCCACAGTGGGCTGTTGTTTCCTGACTATTATTATGCACTTTACTGCTTTTGTGCAGTTGCTTAGGCTGTTCATTCTGCAATGCTTTTATAACCTTTTTTTTTTCTTGTTTGCTTTTTACTCATTCTTTTTAAGCTCAGCTCAAGAATGCCAGGTTGTTTTGAAGTCTTCCCTGACATGCTTATCCTCCTTGTCTCCATGTTGGAATTAATAGCCCCTTCTGCATTTCCAAAGTTATTTATTTACTCCTCTAATTTTAGCATTTGTGTCTTTTTTTTTTTTTTTTAGATTTTATTTATTTATTTGACAGAGAGAGACACAGCGAGAGAGGGAACACCAGCAGGGGGAGTGGGAGAGGGAGAAGCAGGTTTCCCGCTGAGCAGGGAGCCCAATGGGGGGCTTGATCCCAGGACCCAGGGATCATGACCTGAGCCGAAGGCAGACGCTTAACGACAGCCACCCAGGCGCCCCGCATTTGTGTCTTTATACTGTGCCTTGGAATCTTCTTAGTAAGTTAGAGCTTGTGTTTAGAGACAGCATAGAGGGGGAAGCTTGGGCTTTGAGAATGTCTGAATTCCAAAGCCTGAACTTTGTATTATGTATAGTAATAATGATTATTAACATTTATACATTTATTAAGTGCTTACTGTGTGCCAGATACCATCCTGTGTGCTTTACTTGTATTAACTCATTTAATTCCTAAAACATCCCTATGGAGTAGGTCCCCCATCCACATTTTATGTGTGAGAGAACTGAGATACTGATTGGGTAAATAACTTGGCCAACTTCATTTTCATTCATGTCTAAGTATCCTCTGATTTCCCTGTGACTTCTTTGACCCATTGGCTGTTTAAGAGTATGTTGTTTAATTTCCATATTTGTTAATTTTCCAGTTTTCCTTCTGTCATTGTTTCTTAGCTTCATCTATTGTGGTCAGTGAAGATACTTCATACCATTTCAATCATTTTTAAGTTTATTGAGACTTGTTTTGTGTCCTAACATGTCTGGAGAATGTTCCATGTACACCTGGGGAAAATGTGTATCTTGCTGTTGTTTTGTGGAGAATTCTATATATGTCGGATAAGTCTAGTTGATTTATAACACTATTGCAACCCTCTGTTTCCTTTTTGATATTCTCACCAAATGTTCTACCCATTGAGTGCGATGTTGGAAGTCTTCAACTATTATTGTAGAACTGTCTTATTTCTCCTTTCAATTCTGTCAATTTTGCTTCTTAGAGATTTTGACTTCCTGATGATCTCTGCTCTATTTTTACTGTTTTTAATCCCTTTCTATCTATAGGTTCCTCTGTATCTGCATGGGGAAAAAAAATATATATATATATGAAAAAGAATAATCATTTCTTCAACTCTTAACTCCACACACTTTTCCACCTACCATCCTATCTTTCTCTACCCTTTCACAACAGTGTTTTCTACATTGTTTTTTTTCCTGCTTTCTTATCTTCTACTCAGTCCTCACACAAATGCAGTCTTTCTTTCTCTCTTCTGTACTGAAACTCTGCACTCAAAGCCACCAAAGGTCTTCTCATCTTCCCTAAACAAAAGGGACAATTTAATTTTAAAAATATTTTATTTAAGCATGGTGTTAGAGATTAATGCTTATTTTCCATGGAAGGATGCATCCTTCCATGTTGTGGGACTTCATTAGAGTGACAACTCTTTTCTCTGCCCTCACCCTTACTCACTCTTATTTTTCCATCTTCCCTTTCTCCTTGAAAGTTTGCCTTACCACAAAGGGCTGTGTCCTACTTTGCTTTTCCATAATATAAGTTTTCATGTGTACATTGAAATAGATTCCCCAGTTTCTAATTGGGTGGGATATTGTCGCAAATTCTTGGATTTATTTTTAGGAACACTATTGTCCAAAATTCTTAGTCACATTCATCTGTATCAAATTTGTTGGTAACAAAGATTCTTTTATTCCCCAGCTTTACAGAGATATTATGGACCTATAACATAGGTAAATTTAAGTTGTATAACATCATGATCGGATACACATATATATTGTGAGGTGATTACCACTATAAGGTTAGTTAACACCACCATTCCATCACATGATTACCAATTTTTTTGTGGTGATAACATTTAAGATTTACTCTCTTAACAATTTTCACGTATGTAATACAGTATTGTTAGTTATAGTCACCATGCTGTACATCAGATCACCAGAACTTACTCATCTTATAAGTGGAAGTTTGTCCCCTTTGACCAGCATTTCCTCATCTCACCTATCCCCAGCCCCTGGCAACCACCATGCTACTCTCTATTTCTGTGAGTTTTTTTTTAGATCCCACATATAAGTAAGAACATACAGTATTTGTCTTTCTCCGTGTGGCTTATTTCACATGGCACAAGGTCCATTGTTATTGTCCCTAAAGGGAGGATTTCCATTTTTATGGCTGAATAGTATTCTTTTGTATATACACACATTATCCATTCATCTCATCTGTGGGCGCTTAGATTGTTTCCATGTCTTGGCAATTGTGAATAATGCTTCAGTGAACGTGGAGGTAAAGATGTCTCTTTGAGATAGTGATTTTATTTCCTTCAGATATATATCTAGAAGTGGGATTGCTAGATCATATGGTAGTTATATTTTTAATTCTTTGAGGAACTTCCATACTGTTTTCTATAGTGGCTAAACCAATTTACCTTACCACCAACAGTGCACAGGGGTTTATTACTACAGGTCTTCCTCTTAGACATGCTTTTGTTACATCCTGCAAGTTTTGGTATGTTGTGTTTCCACTTTCATTGTTTTTAAGATTTTTTAATTTTTATTTATTTATTTTTAAAGATTTTATTTATTTGAGAGAGCGAGAATGAGAGAGAGAGAGAGCACATGAGAGGGGGGAGGGTCAGAGGGAGAAGCAGACTCCCTGCTGAGCAGGGAACCCGATGTGGGACTCGATCCCGGGACTCCAGGATCATGACCTGAGCGGAAGG